CACGCACACCACACGCACACGCACCCACACCCGCACCCGCACCCGCACCCGCACCCGCACCCGCGGGTGCACGCGTGCACCCGCACGTGCACCCGCACGTGCACCCGCACGTGCACCCGCACGTGCACCCGCACGCGCACCCGCACGCGCGCACGCGCACGCGCACGCGCACGCGCACGCGCACGCACACGCACACGCACACGCATACGCATACGCATACGCACACGCATATATAATGATATATATACATATATAATATCCCCGTTGACATTTCCCATTTAGAATGGTAGGCCTTGGGCCCCCTATAAATCAGTTTTTATGGTTTTTTTGGTGCCGTCGGGGCACTCCATTTTGTAGAAAGAGACCTGTTTGTACACACCCAACATCACTTTATATGAGAACAAGATCATATGCCAGTGTCAGGCACCTCCATTTTGTAGAAGATTTGGAATACCATTTTGTAGATGGGTACGGGGAGTTGATAAATACATCCACAAATGTAAATATATTTGAACACAAAAAAATATCAACCGCTTTTGGTTGGCTCAGCAGTGCCGGCCGCTTCCCCCAAGCCCTCGAACTAGCTGATTGTCAGTGGCCATGCTGCGCTTTCACATGGCGTTCCTGCTGATCGTGGGATTGGTTGGGGAAGGCGTCAAGGTGGCTGACGACACAGCCACACAGACGCCAGAGGAATGGCATCTTGTCTTCGAACGTGACTGATTGGGACAGTTGCCAGGAATAGGACAACTCCAAGAAAGACACTTCAAGAATTGGGCGCAGTTTTCAAAAAAACAAGGAAACTTTTTTGTTTTTACCAATTCCATTTGGAGCTACAAAATGGTAGGCCATTTCCATTGGCAGCTACAAAATGGTGGGATACAGAAATAGTTAGACCATGTAGTCTATGAATGGGGACCATCCATTTTGTAGACTGGTATGGGCTAGCTGGCCAGAGTTTGCAATGGGTTACCCAATGTTCTTTTACTAAGGTGGTTCAAACCAGAACAACACAAAGAGACGCTTCTGGATTGGATGTCCTGGTTGTCTTGCCGGGTGCAGAAGCGGTACCACGTGCTAGACCTTAACTATTTCTGTATCCCACCATTTTGTAGCTGCCAATGGAAATGGCCTACCATTTTGTAGCTCCAAATGGAATTGGTAAAAACAAAAAAGTTTCCTTGTTTTTTTTACTGCGCCCAATTCTTGAAGTGTCTTTCTTGGAGTTGTCCTATTCCTGGCAACTGTCCCAATCAGTCACGTTCGAAGACAAGATGCCATTCCTCTGGCGTCTGTGTGGCTGTGTCGTCAGCCACCTTGACGCCTTCCCCAACCAATCCCACGATCAGCAGGAACGCCATGTGAAAGCGCAGCATGGCCACTGACAATCAGCTAGTTCGAGGGCTTGGGGGCAGCGGCCGGCACTGCTGAGCCAACCAAAAGCGGTTAGACCAGGGTGCGACCACAGGGTTGCTTTGTGTCTTACAAAATGGTTCTCCCATTTTTCACAGTTTTTTGGACACTATGTTAACCCAAAATACTTGATGTTGGTGGGCAGGTGGGGTACCCTGGTGCCACCATTTTGTAGGCAGCAACCCCCATGGGCGCTACCATTTTGTAGGTGTCCCCATACCATTTTGTAGGGAGGTAGGCTGGGCACCCTACACTTTGGTAGGCCCAACCTCTCGGGGCGAATTTCAAGGGGGATGAAAGCTAGATGTTTTTTTTAAATGACTTTCAAGGGCCCTCCAGAACCATCCAGAACAAACAATCTGTCTACAAAATGGAAGGGCGCCATCACATCCACAAGCATGATCCCGGTTGACATTTCCCATTTAAAATGGCAGGCCTTGGGCCCCCTATAAATCAGATTTTATGTTTTTTTTTTTGTGCCGTCGGGGCACTCCATTTTGTAGAAAGAGACCTGCTTATACACATCACTTTATATGAGAACAAGATCATATGCCAGTGTCAGGCACCTCCATTTTGTAGTAGATTTGGAATACCATTTTGTAGATGGGTAAGGGGAGTTGATAAATACATCCACAAATGTAAATATATTTCAACACAAAAAAATATCAACCGCTTTTGGTTAACAGAGAACCAGTGCTGAATGAAGCAGGAAACCTATGGAAGCCTAAGTATGTCTCCCACCTGCCCATCAACTTCAAGTATTTTGGGTTAACATAATGTCCAAAAAATGTGAAAATTGGGAAAGCTAGATGTTTTTGTTTTTTTTTAATGACTTTCAATGGCCCTCCAGAACCATCCAGAACAAACAACCTGTCTACAAAATGGAAGGGCGCCATCACATCCACAAGCATGTTCATGATACTCTGGCACTACCATTTTGTAGCTGGTTCATGCTGGTTCAAGACATATTTTGTAAGAATCTCGAGTGCCAAGCTACATGGGTTTGTTGGAGGGGATTGTGGTGGCTGCCTTTGCAATAGGCTTGGCGATGGGGATCCTACTTAGAAAGTGTGTCTGCCGACCATGTGGATTTTGTGGTGGAGATGATCGCAAAGTTTTCAAAGCCTCCAAAATTTTGAAACCAGCCCCGGTCCAGAAAAAAAACGCGATGACCACTACTTCGGTCCAGTCTATCTGACTACTTCTGTTGGACGATACTTTATGAAACCCGATTGCCAGATGCACAAAATGCAAAAATGTGAGATATGCAAGGATTGCTTGAGAGATTTTAAGAAGAAATTTCATTCAAGGTAAACTGTCTACAAATTGGTCGCCCAAAAAAGACTAGGGTGCGACCACAGGGTTGCTTTGTGTCTTACAAAATGGTTCTCCCATTTTTCACAGTTTTTTGGACACTATGTTAACCCGAAATACTTGATGTTGGTGGGCAGGTGGGGTACCCTGGTGCCACCATTTTGTAGGCAGCAACCCCCATGGGCGCTACCATTTTGTAGGTGTCCCCATACCATTTTGTAGGGAGGTAGGCTGGGCACCCTACACTTTGGTAGGCCCAACCTCTCGGGGCGAATTTCAAGGGGGATGAAAGCTAGATGTTTTTTTTAAATGACTTTCAAGGGCCCTCCAGAACCATCCAGAACAAACAATCTGTCTACAAAATGGAAGGGCGCCATCACATCCACAAGCAAGATCCCCGTTGACATTTCCCATTTAAAATGGCAGGCCTTGGGCCCCCTATAAATCAGATTTTATGTTGTTTTTTTTTTGTGCCGTCGGGGCACTCCATTTTGTAGAAAGAGACCTGCTTATACACATCACTTTATATGAGAACAAGATCATATGCCAGTGTCAGGCACCTCCATTTTGTAGTAGATTTGGAATACCATTTTGTAGATGGGTAAGGGGAGTTGATAAATACATCCACAAATGTAAATATATTTCAACACAAAAAAATATCAACCGCTTTTGGTTAACAGAGAACCAGTGCTGAATGAAGCAGGAAACCTATGGAAGCCTAAGTATGTCTCCCACCTGCCCATCAACTTCAAGTATTTTGGGTTAACATAATGTCCAAAAAATGTGAAAATTGGGAAAGCTAGATGTTTTTGTTTTTTTTTAATGACTTTCAATGGCCCTCCAGAACCATCCAGAACAAACAACCTGTCTACAAAATGGAAGGGCGCCATCACATCCACAAGCATGTTCATGATACTCTGGCACTACCATTTTGTAGCTGGTTCATGCTGGTTCAAGACATATTTTGTAAGAATCTCGAGTGCCAAGCTACATGGGTTTGTTGGAGGGGATTGTGGTGGCTGCCTTTGCAATAGGCTTGGCGATGGGGATCCTACTTAGAAAGTGTGTCTGCCGACCATGTGGATTTTGTGGTGGAGATGATCGCAAAGTTTTCAAAGCCTCCAAAATTTTGAAACCAGCCCCGGTCCAGAAAAAAAACGCGATGACCACTACTTCGGTCCAGTCTATCTGACTACTTCTGTTGGACGATACTTTATGAAACCCGATTGCCAGATGCACAAAATGCAAAAATGTGAGATATGCAAGGATTGCTTGAGAGATTTTAAGAAGAAATTTCATTCAAGGTAAACTGTCTACAAATTGGTCGCCCAAAAAAGACTAGGGTGCGACCACAGGGTTGCTTTGTGTCTTACAAAATGGTTCTCCCATTTTTCACAGTTTTTTGGACACTATGTTAACCCAAAATACTTGATGTTGGTGGGCAGGTGGGGTACCCTGGTGCCACCATTTTGTAGGCAGCAACCCCCATGGGCGCTACCATTTTGTAGGTGTCCCCATACCATTTTGTAGGGGGATAGGCTGGGCACCCTACAGAATGGAGCTCTCATCGTCTCGGGGCGAATTTCAAGGGGGATTATATAATGAGATATATATATATACATATATATATATAAATATACACAGGTATATATATATATATCTTGCACACATGTCTACAGTATTATGTGCAATTGCGATCAAACATGCGTATGTATGGCTACATGCAACAACGGTTAAAGATGTTAAAAGGAGTAGTTCTCCTAGAACTTTCTTGCTGAAGAAGGTCCGCTATTCCAGTCCCTTCATATCCAAAGTGGGATCAAATCTAGGTTTCTTTTTTTTTCCTCTCTCTCTCTCTCTCTCTTTCTCTCTATTTGCATATATACATATATGTATAGTTACTATAGTTCGACATATTTTACAATTGTACGCATTACTTTTTTTAACGGAATCATGATGCCTGGCTCTGCACTGTGATGAAGCAACCCTGGGTCGACGTGTCACCCCAAAAACACAGATGGTTATCTCATGCATATTAATCATGAAGATACTACAATCATCAATGCATCCCTTTGGATCAAACGTGACAATGGAAAATGCCCGAACTAAATGGAGGTTTGTAAGCTGGAAAGATAATCTCTAAATGGGAGGTTTTCAATTGATAAAGACACCTCAATATCGGTTTGTCCGAAAATGGGTTACCCTTAAATCTGCTGGTTGACCATCAATTTTCCCAAGTACAAGAGGAATTTTGGTCTCCACGCGGTTTTGAGGCACTGGAAGCGCCAACCCCCTGGGCAGTGGCATCTCTGCTAGTGGCAGCGATGGCAAATCCTTAGCCTCGGTGGTGGATGCTGTTGATATCTCCCTGGTAGACATAGGATGCGGCTGGGTGGATTCAGGTGGTTTTGTCTGGAAATCATGGCATGAGACCAAGCATTTTTTGGGAGGTAACCGGGGTATGATGACAAGATAACGGGATACCAGAGTTTCCCAATAGAAGGGATTTGTCATGGATTGTCCATAAAGAAGGGTTTGCCATGTCAAATAGGAATTTTGAAGGGTATGATGGTATGGACTGGATGTTTCTTGGACCTTGGTGCCTTGGCACTTTTTTTGGACCTGTACATGTTTATTGGACCTGGCCGTATTTTTTTTTGGACCTGGGGTGAGGAAAACTGTGGCAGACGTGCATGTGTGTTTTCTGGACCCTGTGGGGATATTTTTTTTGACCTGGTATTTGTGCTGGACCTAGGGGAATTTCTTTCGACAGCGAAATTAATTGTTTTTGAGCCTGGCTTCTTTTTTTCCCGAATGCGTGTAGCGAAGGGTGTTCGTTTTACTTCGGGGGTCTGGGCTGGGGGTTGAGACGTGTTCGCTCGACGCTGCTTTTGTGTTCGCAACCGTTCGCAACCGTTTGCAATCGTCCGCAACCGTTTACGAGCGACCGTCGTGGGGGCAAAATGGCCTTGCCTATGGCGAGTTCTGCAAAAGTGGTTACTTTTGGAGGTTTCAAGAGTCGTGCAGACTCGTTTCGCGTGGCAGGCGTGGCACTTTGATGCACTTTGTGACATTCCAACATGTTTCATAACATGCCGAAAGTCATTGTGTGTGGCAGGCGCAATACTTTTGCGTCGTTTTCAGAAGATGAGTTGCAGCTTCCGTGGCAGGTGCAGCACTTGGGCAGCACTTTGGAGACCTCCATCATCATTTTGCGTGGCAGGCGCAGCACATCAGGCGACGCGTCGAGTTGCATGTTTTTTGCGAATCCCGTTGTCAGGGCTGCGTCGAGTCAAGTGATGTCCACGTGCCAATTGCGTGGCAAGTGTGGGACATCGTGGGAGTCTCATTCTGCAAAGCAGGCAAAGCATTTCGCGAAGATCCATCCTGTGTGGAAGTCATTATTACACTTTACACTCCACACTCTACACTTTACACTCCACACCCCGCACTGTAGACTTTTATACTCCACACTGTACACTTTACACTCCACACTCTACACTCCACAGTTTTCACTCTAGACTCCTCTCTCCACACTTTACACTCCACACTCCACACTTTACACTTTACACTCACTACTGTACACTTTACACTTCACACTTCACACTCCACACTTTACACTCCACACTCCACACTTTAGAATCTACACTTTACGCTCCACACTTTCCACCAGTCCACAGTCCACACTCCACACTCTATAGACACTCCACACTGTGCACTTTACACTCCACACTCCACACTCTACACACCACACTGTACACTTTACACTCCCCACTGTGCACTTTACACTCCACACTCTACACTCCACACTTTACACTCCACACTCGGCACTTTACACTTTACACTCCACACTTTAAACCTCCTCACTCCACACGTTACACTCCACACTCTACACTTTACACTCCACACTTTACACTCCACACTTTGCACTGTATACTTTACACTCCACACTGTACACTTTACACTCCACACTCCACAGTCTACACTCCACAGTTTTCACTCTACACTCCTCTCTCCACACTTTACACTCCACACTTTACACTTTATACTCACCACTGTACACTTTACACTCCACACTCCACACTGTGCACTTTACACTCCACACTCTACACTCCACACTTTACGCTCCTCACTCGACACTTTACACTTTACACTCCACACTTTACACTCCTCACTCCACACGTTACACTCCACACTCCGCGCTTCACACTCCACACTCCACACTTCACACTCCACACTTTACACTTTACACTCAACACTATGCTCTACACTATGCTCTACACTATGCTCTACACTTCGCACTCCACACTTTACACTCCACACTCCACACTCTACACTCTACACTTTACACTCCACACTTTACACTTTACACTCCACACTTATCATTTTGCACTTTACACTCCTCACTCCACGCTTTAAACTCCACACTTTACACTCCACACTTCACATTTTACACTTTACACTGTGCACTCCACACTTTGAACTCTACACTGGACACTTTACGCTCTACATTCTACACTGTACACTCCACACTCCACACTTTACACCTCACACTTCACACTCTACACTTTACCCTCCACACTCTTGACTTTTCACTCCGCACTCTACACTTTACACTCCACACTCCACACTGTACACTTTAAACTCCACACTCCACACTTTACACTCCATACTTGGCACTTTACACTCTACACTCCACACTCTACACTTCACTCTTCACACTTTACACTCCACACTCCACGCTGTACGCTCCACACTTCACACTCAACACTTCACACTCCGCGCTCTACACTTTACAGTCCACACTCCACACTTTACACTCCACACTTGATACCTTGCACGCCACACTCTACACTCCACACTTTACACTCCGCACTTTACGCTTCACAATCTAGACTTTATATTCCACACTCTACACTTCACACTCCATACTCTACAGTTCACACTGCGCACTCCACACTCTACAAGTTACACTCCACACTTTGACACTTTACACTCCACACTCCACACTTTACACTCGACACTCCACACTTTACACGCTGCACTTTACACTCCGCAGTCCACACTTTACACTTTCCACTCAACTCTTTACACTTCACACTCCACATTTTACACTCCACAGTCCACACTTTACACTTCACACTCCACACTCAACACTTTACACTCTACACTTTACACTCCACACTTTACGCTCCACACTTTACACGCCGCACTTTACACTCCACAGTCCACACTTCACACTTTACAGTCTACACTTTATACTCCACACTCCACACTTGACACTTTACACTTGACACTTTACACTCCACACTGTACACTCCACACTCCACACTTTACACTCCTCACTCCACACTCTACACTTCACGCTTTCCACCCCACACTCTACACTTTACACTCCACAATCCCCACGTCACACTCTACGCACAATATTCCCCACTCAACACTTCACTTTCTTCACGTTCCACACTTGGCACTCCAACCCTTTCCGCCTTCCACTGTCTACAGTGCACTGGTATGGTAACAGGATATTTTTTTAAGATGCACAAGATTGTTCAAAAACCTGTTTCACAAAAGTATTTTACGTGACTGCATTCGAGTTCGTTGGTTTCTCTTGTTTTGGACCCGTGCACCTGCTTTGCGGACCTTGCTGCTACGGAGGTAGGGGGAGATACGGGGTCGGCGGCTCGCATGTACATGTGGAATTTGACACGTACGTAGACGCAGAGGCTTTGCTAATTGGACTAGTATGTTCATGCAGGTGTTCTGCTGCTGGGGAGGGGAGGTTCAGATATTGGAAGCAGATGAATGCAGGAACCAGGAAGTTGTTGAGAGACACAGAAGTAGATACAGGGGGGGAGGGCAATTTAAGGTTTTGAAACGACATGAACGCAAAAAATTGTGGAGGGCCAGGGGGGAAGTCTAGATATTGAATCCAAATGAATGCAAGAAGTTGTTGAAGAGGCAAAATGGGGGACAACTTTGATTTTGAAACAAGATAAATGGACGAAATTGAGATATAGAATCCAACTGAATGCAGGAAATTGTTGAAGAGGCACAAGGGAAGGTAGATGACTGCAAGAATTTGTGGATGGAAACCACATGAATGCAGGGAATTGAGAGGCACAGGGAGGGGAAACTTTAGATATTGAAAGAAAATGGGGGCATGAAGTTGTTGAAATACGCTGGGGAGGAAGTCATGGGAACCTAGATATTGAATCCAAACGAATGGAGGAAGTTTTTGGGGGGCACAAGGTAAGGAGGGCAAATTTAGATGTTGACACGAGATGAATGCAAGAGGTTGTGGAGAGGGAGGGCATATATAGATTTTGAATCCGACTGAATGCAGGAAGTTGCTGAGAGGCACAAAGGGGAGAAATTAAATTTTGATAAATTTTGAAACAGGATGAATACTGGCGGGAAGTTCAGATATCGAACCCAAATGAATGCAGCAAGTTGCGGAGAGGCACAAGGCGGGGTGGAATTTAGATATTGAAAAAAATGAATGTTTTCCCGTGGGGCCAAGTTCATCCAGGTTGAGCCCAAGTCGAGCCCTTGCGTAACTGAGAAGGGCCGGAAGGGGTGTGGAAAGCAGAGATTGAGAAGTTGAGAAGAGGGCAGAACGGGAAAGAGGTGGAAAACTCCCTGTGGAAGGGCCAGGTCCAACAGGAGGCTGGGTAGTTGGGTAGGTCCAAAAAAGTGGCAACCATCTCCAAAAGAATTGTAGTAAGGTCCAAAAGAAAGTGGAATGAGGTCCCAAAAAAGTGTTACCGATTTTGAAGAACTAGTTGCAATTGGGAAGGCAAACTCTTACACCATGCGAGAACTTTACTGAGCAGCAGTTGGGAATGTGGGCCATTTCAACCTTTTGGAAGGGAGAAAACATCAATAATTACATTCGCAACATGTCAATAATCAATAATCCAACATGACCAGCCAAGTTCAGCAGGAAACCAAGCGACGCTCGCATGACAAATTGGAGGTGCAGTTCCAGTTGTGGGGGTACCATATCCCAACTTATGGGTGTTAAAATCCCATAGTTCTACCACGTCATATCATATCCATTAATGCTAATCACAGTTAATTATTTTTAACCCATAGTTATACCAATTTTTGTCACCCCAGCTGCACCTTGAGCCCCACGCAGGAGATGGCGCGTCTCGGAAAGTGATGGTGACCACGCCCATCTACGTCCGCCTCTCAGACGTAGCACCGGCGACGACGACGCCGCTGCTGTGCGCCTTCCTCGATGGCGATGTGTGGTCCCAGCAGGGCATACGAGTGGCGACGGAGGAGGAGTTGAATGACTTCTTTCGTGGCCAAGTTGCTGGGACGATGTTTGGGAGATGAAGCATGGTGAAGCTCAACTGGTTGAGCTCCGAGAGAGAGAAGGACATTTTCTTCGGTCAGATTTTGACAGATTTTCATCAAGAAAGATGTCAGAGACCACTGCAGACACGATTTGATTTTCTTTTTGAAGAACAAAGAAGGTTGGCATTGCTACCGGATGTTGTAATGGGGTTATGATTACCCAGACGTGTGGATACGTGGAAATTGACTTGTGCTGCAATCCCATTTACGGTTGGGGCCTGTTGATGTATCAGTGACTTTTTCTTTGGGTTCTGGGGACGGAAGAGAAAGGTTTGGCAGATGGCCACCCCCCAAAAAAATGAGAACATCCACCAGTTTCAAGGGGTTATGAACTATTATAACCTCTTTGGCAGATGGGAGAATTCGTTTTTCCAGTTCCACCTTCATTTCGAAGGATCTTGAACTGTCATGGAGAAAGTCGAACTTGCACCAGAATCCGTATCTTTAGCCGTAGCCTTTTTCTCTGAATCTTCTTCTTTTTCCTCGTCTCACAATAAGCAGTATTGTTATAATATATATATATATATAATATTATTGCTATATTATGCTATATTATTTTCGAAAAAAACGCTAATTATTATTGTATACTATCATTATAGTTATTTCGCCTGCACAAACATGACGCAGGACACAGCCCTTAAAAACTGAACCCAAACCATGCAAAAACACACACCAGGAAGAGCCCTCAAAAAGATCTCAAAAATCATAGCTTGATTCGGTACTACCCAAGATATTTGCTTCATGAATTTTATTTGATTTATCAACCTTGAGCCCTTGATGTTTGGACTCCAAGGCGTCCAAGGTCGACCTTGTCGGTGGATTGTCAGTGGATTGTTGCAACAAATAATCGGTTGATCTCAATTCTTAAGGGTAAAACCATATTAAATCCCAATCTTTCTTGATTGGTGATCACAATTATTCTTGGTCACATCCCTATGTCCCTGAATTCAAGTGGTGAAACGCATTTTCAATCATTTTTATGTTTAGACCCTGTGATTCGTTACTATATGTTAATATGTTTCACCAAAGTATTTGCCCCTCATTGCAGGTTCCATTCCATGATCACTTCGTAAATTTGAGGTTGTCCTGGTGAAAATGAGGGGACGTTCACCAGAGATCCTCAGGTGAATACTACGGGACTTTGGTGCGCCACGACACATCTCTCCATCTTCAGCGCTTTCGTGGACCTGCTGTTGGACTGTGCCTTGGGATGATTCGAACATGGAAAATGGTCTGAGAAGCCTGGGGCATGGTGATCTAACATTGGGCAACCATGCAAAATGGTGATTTGACAATGGAAGCTTGTCATTTAACAATGGAATCCAATGGAAGAGGTTTGAGACAACCGTGGAAGATGATGCTTTTAAGATCCCAAATGGGACATGGCGAAAACGGCGCCTCAGCTGTCGACTTGCAAGGCGGGAGGTGGAAACCAACCACCAGATACATGTGGGAACCTCATGTTACACCATTCTTGGAATACCACTCAAATGGTGAAATTGGGTAAATGGATGTAAATGGGCTGTGGTTTACTCCTGGATTTGCCACATATTCAACTACGTTGGCATTTCGGATATTATTTATTTATTTTTGTTTGTGTGAGTGTCTCGGTCGTCCTCTAAGTAGCCAATTTGGTTCCAGCACCACTGCAAAGGTAAAGCCACCTCTTTGCTTGGTCTTGCCTTCAGTCAGATTTGAGGCTTCAGATCATCTAAATGATGCTTCTAGGTCAGATTTGAATGTTTTTGCGCGTAGAAGCCTAATTTGATTGCGTTTATGCCTCATTTATATAAGTCCAGCAGTCCAGTTGTCCACCCATTGCTCCATGCCTAGGCCCAGCCATTGCCTTCTGCTGCAGAGCCATACCTTCCCCTTGCAGGTCAGCCTCGACCGGGAATTGAGTCGTATGGGCCATGGACCACGTCAGTGATTTTGAGCAATTAAGATTGAGTGAGCCCATTCCATATTCACACCATAATTATTTCTGCTTCTGTTTGCCAAAAAGATTCTCAGCCTCTCGTCCTTGGGGTCCTGCGGTCCTTGGGCTCCTTGCGGTCCTTGGGCTCCTTGCGGTCCTTGCGGTCCTTGCCATTGCAGCCCTGGGGCCATGGGGCTTGGACTCAGCATGGCGGAGCACGAGGGGGTTGCGCAGTGGCAGGCACCAGTGGCCGATCCGGAGCCTTTGCAGCCCAACGTGCCCAAAGCCTGGAGCCCGCCCAGGCCCAGCATGTTGATGAATTCGTGCAGGAGGAGGAGGATGCTTCGGAAGTGCGGTCCGCAGCGTCCAGAGTGAGCGATCCTAGGGTGGAGGCTGCGGCGGACCACAGCCTGCGAGCACAGCGGGAGATTGTGGAGAATGTCTGCACTCTTTTGAGCCAACAGCCTGCGATGAGTGCTGAGCTGCTCATGCTGCGACAGGAGGACATCCAGAAGTTCTCCGTCACCATGACGCAGGCTCCCGCTGCTTTTAGGCGCAGGTATGACACAAGGGCCGACTTCTCCTGGGCCCTGGCCGGCCGGGTACAACTTCGTTGTTTCCTTCTACCGCGGCGGAGCCGGAACCCCGTAGTCCCAGGCAGAGATCTGCGGCAGTGCCTAGTCAAGTAATATGGCTGGACAAAGTTTTTAACCAGCAAGCTTTTTTTTGGAAATAATTTACTAAGTTGATTTGTTTTTGGCTTTTGACGTTGACAAGCAGTCAGAAATTCTATTTTGGAGCATGTGGTTGATCTGCAGCTGTTGATGTCGTCCGCTGCCCCAAACTGAGATTTCAAGCTGACCGATGGTGCTTTGGTCGATCAAGCGCGAGACCTGCTTCGAAGGATCCCTGTGTGAGCTCGATCCCCCGGATTTGGGTCAGGGTGCCTTCTTGGATGTTTCAATGAGCAATTTTTCGCAATTTGTCAGATCGCTGCCTTCCAAATTTTATTAGCCCCCGCCACTTTCCCATTGTATATTTTGTCGTCAGAAATCAAGAAGTTAATTTTGTGTGTCAGAGGGCATTGGCATGCAACCAGGTTGCATCTGCTGTCCAAGAACTTTTGGAACAGTTCACGGAAGCAGAGGCTAGCTCAGGGGGCATCTTCACTTGTTCCATTCTCTTGTACCCGTGGATGATGAACGGAGCCGCAAGGGGATACAACCTCCGAGAGGTTCAGGCCTCTGTGGGCGAAAATGTATGGGTTCATTAACAATGAAACCGGTGGTTAAACCTGAAGGGATTATTATTAACATGTGTGGTAAATGTCTAGGCTTTTTTTGACACGCGGCAACATGTGGCAACTGTCAGAACCGAGATTGGGCCGGATGGGCGTTGCCAATGACTGCAGAGGGCCAACCTTTTCACGCCGCCCTCTACTGCCAAGACATCTTGAAGTTTGCTGAGACTTTCTTGGATCGGACCCAGATCGGGGTAGCGCGAGTAGCGCCAAGGGCCCTTGATGCTTTGGGGCAAGGTGGCCAAGCCCCGCTCAGTATCGAGGATGGCAACCGGAGGATCCTGGACCAAAGTTTCTTCATGCGGGGGTTCGCCACGGTGAAGGAGATGCAGGAGAGCACAGGGATCCAATATTCGGTGTCATCTGGCCAGACCCTTCGCAATGATGATCTGGCCTTGGTGCAGTGCCTTGACCTTGGGACACTCCAATTTTTCAAGTATGGCTCAGTTCCTGGCCCCGGTTCCCGCAGTGCGTGGGTTACTGCAGAAGGTGGTGGCTGGTTCTACGTGTTGACCTACAGGGACGCACAGGTGGCACAGGCCCGCTACGTCACCCCTACTTGGATCCTGCAGGCCGGAGCCGGAAAAATGATCGTATAAATAAATAATCAATGATGACGCCCAACACACCTAGCACACCTTAGCGTAATGCGTATGCATGGTTGCTATCAAGTTAGTGCTTGTGCATATTTGTTTTTGTCTGTCTGTTTATTTACATTGCTGGAATTTGTCAGACAATGACCCTGCTGCAGTGCGAATGCTTCAAGGGGGACTTTTGCGACGAGGAGTGGCATTGCAGGCCAGGATCGCGCAAAGAGGTCACCGTGGTATGGACTGGAGCTACTGCCGAAGAGTTTGATTTGCTCTGGGATGGCATGGTGGTGGAGACTTTGTATTAAGTTGAAGCGTTCTTATCATACACCCTCTCCGGTCCGTATTGTTTTGGGAATTCGTATTGTTGCATCACATTGTTTTTTGGTTTGGTGGATTGGGCTCCTTTTCCATGAGGAGTAGTTTCTTCTAATGTCTTAATGTGTTTTGTCCCGGTGGTCCTACCTGAGGCACATAGGTCTGACAAAGTTTTGGCATAAAGTCATTGAGCTCAGAGCTGCAGGATGCGCCTAGAATTGGTGGCTGATTGAAGTTGCAGACTTGGAAGCCTCTCGCGTGCAATCAAAAATGAGTTATATAGTAATAGTATTAAAGCTGTCGTGGTGCTGTGTTCGCCCTACGTCGATTTCAGAAGCTGGAAGTTGCGTACTTGTTGGCCCTGTTGGTTTACAGTTTTGTTTTTGGCCGACTTTCTGCGGTCCTGCGGTCTTTGACCTGTGGGTAGCAGACTGCCTGTCAGCAGATTGGCATTGATCAAGATGGCCCCTGCCCCGAGTCTTCCTGACAATCCAGAAGCTGCAGCCTCATTAATTCGCATTTTGGACATAGGTCAGATTCAGAATGTGGCGCCAATTGAAGCAAAGAGACAATGAGGCCAGAGCCAAAGATGTCATGATGCAGGTGATTCCATGGGAGCTGGCTTCAGATGCTTGTGAAAATACAATGCTGTTCAGTCAGCAGCGGCTTGTGGCCGATGCGCCAAATCCAAAGAATTCTTGAGGTCAGATCGCAGCTACCCAAGCAGCATCCACCTGCCAAGGAAATGCACAAGACAGTGCCCTTGGCAATCGACGAAGCCGTTAAGCACAAGGATATTTCTGGTTACAAGGCCTGGCAGAACTTTGTTGCAATTTTGGTCTCAAATGATTGGACGCATCTAATGCAGAACATTGCCTGACTTTCAATTGATTTGCCAGGCAATTTGGGATCAACAGTCATGCCTTACTTCACTGAAGGTCAACGGCTTGTACGAAGGTTCAGGTCTAGCTCTGTGGCTCCGCGGTGGAATCTACTCCACAGGGAAGGACCGGAATATTGACCCGGGCAGTGTTCCTTTTGGTGAGATTGCCAAGTTCAAGGCAGACTTCTTTGGCAAAGAAGTTACTTTGAAAGCTGCGGTGCAAAGAGGTCAGGCAAAAAAGCGGCGGGCAAAGCAGCGGATCTTGTGGCCAATCGTGATGCTGTGCGGCTGTGAGAGTGTGAATGATGCAAAGCACGACCACATTGACGGCTCCTTGAACCTTGCAAGCTGTCACTTCGTGCTGTGGTCCTGGTACCTTGCAGTCATCGAAGCTCTTCAAGCTGATGAGACTTGGACCAAGAATGTTTTCACCTTCTGTGTTTGCTACCATGGCTGTGCCAACATTGCACATTGCTTCCCAGAGTTTGGTGTGATTAAAGTTTCATTTAATTTTTTTCTTGGCAGCTTTAACAGCTTTCGCACAAGGACAAAGAATGGCTCGACATGCTTTGGGAGGCAGCTTGTACAGTTACTATCCAGCTCCGTTTTTGTTCTCTGACATGGATTGGGCATTGACTCTGAACAGGGCATCGGAAAAGCTGAAGACGTTGAGCAACAACTCTTTGTCTGACACATTCATTAAATTTTGTTCTTTAGCCAAGACCCTGAAGGTTGAGAAAGAGCCTGACGGCCGGGATTCACAGCTTCGCTTCAACAATTCCCTCTACAACGCCGCAATGCACAAAGCTTGCATGGCCGTGCTTTCTGTGATGAGTGAACCAGGGTCCACCAAAGTTTCTGCTTTTGAAGCAGCCATCCATGCCAGAACCATGGCATCAGCAAGCGGGCCGGTCGACCAGCTTGCTGGTTGGCTTGTGGACATGTTCCATCTTGCCTTGAACTCCAGGCTGGTCACTTGCGCCAGGGCAACGGATATATGATATATGGCTTGACCGTGACCGCAAGCACCAGAAGAACGGATACTGGCATGCATGCGCAAGTGTGTTAAGAGGACAGGGGGCTGAGGTTGCCAAATTGACTTCGCTCATCTTCGCTCTATTTAAATGGAATCATATTTAATTTGCTGCCCCTGTAATGCTTATAACATCTTATAACTAAACTTTAAAGCGTGGCAAAGCTGCAGGCCAAAGGGGGCGGCGACGCCTGCGGCAGAAATTTAGAAATTGTGGGTCAAAATAGCGGGCCACCCTCCAGCCACTTTGCCCCGAACTAACTCTTGCAGCTCTCCCAGGCCCATCCCCAACTAATTCCAATCCCGGAAACCCCACAAAATCGCAGAAAATATCACCCAGGTTCTCCCAGGAAATCCCGGGAAACCTACAAAATCGCAGAAAATAACACCCAGGTTCTCCCAGGAAGTCCCGAAAAAACACCACAAAAACGCAGAAAATAACACCCAGGTTCTCCCAGGAAATCCCGGAAACCCCACAAAATCGCAGAAAATAACACCCAGGTTCTCCCAGGAAATCCCGGAACCCCACAAAATCGCAGGAAATAAGACCCAGGTTCTCCCAGGAAATCACGGAAACCCCACAAAATCGCAGAAAATAACGCCCAGGTTCTCCCAGGAAATCTCGGAAACCCCACAAAATCGCAGGAAATAAGACCCAGGTTCTCCCAGGAAATCCCGGAAACCCCACAAAATCACAGAAAATAACACCCAGGCGATTGACAATAAGGATCCCAACTATCAGTTTGCTGGCTATAGGGAGCTGCGGAGGGTTCTAGCTCATGGTAAGAAGCCGCCGTCTCGTCTAAAGGATGCTAATGGTCAGCTGCTTCTCACGAAACCAGAGCGGATTCGACGGTGGGGTGAGTATTTTCAGTCCCTTCTTAATGTCCCTTCAGTTGTTCAACCCAGTGAGTTAGAAGTGATCTCGGAGAAACTTCCGAATTTTTAGCTGGACTCGCCTCCCGCATTCTCTGAAACTTTGGCGGCATTGTCCAAACTCAAAAAAGGTAAAGCTTGTGGGCCTGACGGAATTGAAGCTGAGGTACTTTTGGCCTTGAATTTGAACAATGTTCGTATCTTTCACGAGTTCATCACACATGTATGGACTGGTGCTCAGGCCATGCCTCCGGAGTGGCTTGACTCCTACACTGTTCCGTTGCCCAAAAAGGGTGACCTTTCCTGTTGCTCACGGTGGCGAGGGGTCATGCTTGCTTCTATCCCTGGTAAATTGTTTGCTCGTATTCTGCAAGCCAGACGGTATGATTACTCCGAGACTGCTGGTCTCCTCCCTGAAACTCAGTGTGGATTTCGGCGTAATAGGGGCACGATGGATATGATTTTTTTGTCTTCGTATTGCTATGGAAGTTGCTGCATACAAGAGCCACCCCTTTCATGTTTTATTCATTGACTTAGTCAAGGCATTTGACTCGGTGTCTCGAAGTGGACTTTGGTGTATCCTCCGTAAGAAAGGTGTCCCTCCTCGCTTTCTTTCTCTTTTACAATCATACTACCAGGACAAGCAGACTTCTGTCTCTGTTGAAGGAGCCCTTTCTCCTGTGTTCTCGCTGTCTACTGGTGTTGGTCAGGGCTGTTGCGTTGCACCTCTCTTGTTTAGTCTGTTTCTTTCAGCTGTGATGGAAGCGTGGGATGAACGCACTGGAGGACGAGGCTTACGATGGCTAACACACATTGATGGGAACTTATTGCACCGGGAACGTCAGGACAAGTATGGACATCTGGACAATTGTGATTTTGAGCATCTTATGTACGCGGATGATGCGGCTTTACTTGCTGATACTCTTCTAACACTGGCCGATAAGGCTAAGCATATTCAGGCACATCTTCATAATTGGGGTCTTTCTCTTTAGGTCTCCAAGACCTGTGCCCTTTCGACTGCAGCTGGACAGCATGAAGCCTTGCAAGTAGAGGAGGTTGAGGGCGAGTCTTCCATTCAGTTTTGCTCGGAGTTTGAATATCTTGGTTCCATTATTTCGGTTCACGGCAACTGTGATATTGCGGTCCGCGCTCGACTTGATAAGGCCAGAAAGGCGTTTTGGTCCCTTAACTCTTCTGTTTGGTCTGTGTCCTCTCTCTCTCACTCCGTATGAAACTGTTGGTTTATCGTTCTGCGGTTCTGTCGGTTCTCCTTTATGGTGCTGAAGCGTGGTGTTACACTTTTCAGGTTAAATTAGCTTTAGAGAAATTTTATCTGGTGTGCTTACGTAGAATTTCTGGGGTTGGATTGGACTGGCAACGGGACGAACATTTAAGCAACGTTGATCTTCGCAATTGGCTAGGAGTTCCATCTGTTGAGCAGTTGGTTAGGCAAGCTCGTCTTCGTTGGCTAGGACATGTTGCTCGCCTTCCCAAACATAGGCTTCCTAAGAAACTGCTGTTTGCTTCCCTGCCGGAGGGAGTTGGCATTCCCCCGTCCCCAGGGCTACAGGCGGGTAAGTTTCTTAGGGCTGCGTATGCCTCGGATCTTACTGCTGTTAAGGTTGATAGGGTTTCGTGGTTGCAACGCTGTAACTTACCTGATGGCAAGAAATGGTGGGGTCAAATTGTTCGTAGTGCGGCTCTTTGGTATGTTCCTAGGCAACCAAGAAGGGGTGTAGAATGTGGGCCTCGTGGTGGGCTGGATGACTTACCGGTTAATAACTTTCGAGCGGGAGTTGGCAAGCTATCTCAGGCGGATAGAATTCAGCATGCTGAGGCTCAAATCCTGACCGCTACTCAAGTTGCATCTTCTTTCTTTGCTTGGGAAAGTGAACTCGGGGGTTCTGATGCTCTGTATGAATTGCTAAAGGTTGAATGTGCCCGATTTCTCTCATCCTCCGAGCCCGACCAGGAAAATTTCTCTGATTTTATGGCTTTTCTTGCGCTTGGGGCTGCTTCGCATTTGGACTCCCTAAGTGATCTTGCCACCTTGCGCATTGTTGCTGGCACTGTCTGGATTAGAGAACTCACGGAGCCCCCTCCACCTCTCAGAACTGGTTTGACGCCCAGGCGAATCTCTAGAAAGCGAAAGCCACCTGCCTGGTCGCTGGCTGCGGATGCTCCTTCGCCTCCTGCCTCTTCTGCAGCTACAGATACTGTCTCTCGCGGCTCAAAAGTGCGATCCGCTAGTGACTTGGGAGAGGGAGACTTTCCTTGTCCGGTTCCTGGATGTGGCAGAAAGTTCACTACTAAAAATGGTTTGTCCAAACATGTTCTTCTAAAACATAGGGAAGGCACTTTTCGTGCCGCTGGATTCTCTTGTCATCTATGTCCTCGATGGTTCGAGTTGGAACGAGCTCTCACGATTCATGTCACTAAAAAACATGGACCTGGTTTTAATCCATTTTTCTGTCCAATTTGTAAGGGATTCTGGGGTGGTCGGCCTGGCCTTTTGTATCATATCAACATGGAACACCCTATTACGGATGAGATGTTCCCCCGTCATTGTCCGTTTTGTCCTAACAATGATCCCCCCAATCAGATTTTCAAGAGTGCACATCATTTCCGTTTGCACTTGTACAAGCATCACTTGCGACTGCCTGCAGCTGCTTGATCTCACCTCGATTCTCGAACATTCATGAAAGCATGTCTGCGCTCCCATTGGATCAGCGTTTGGCTGCTGTTGAGCTTGGGCTTCGACATGTTGGTGACCTCGCTGCATCCACGGCAAAGGGTTTGGGCAAGGACAAAACCCAACGGCAAATCCTGGTCTTTGCCACGGGTGTTTTCAAGCAATCTGTCTTGGAAGCCAAGGAGCAATGGGATGCGGGTGCAGCAGCTGCCAGGACTTCTGGTGCTGCTTCTGGTACTGATGCTCGACCTGTACCGTTCAAATGGCAACTACTTCGCATGGTCATTGAGGCACTCCAAGCTCAAGGGCTGTCTGGTGAAGTCTTGGCTGAGCTCCAGGCCTTGGAGATCTCCTGCTTGGAGGCGATGTTTCTTTCTGCTACTGATACTGACAGGCCCGTCATTCTTACGTTTCTCTTTCGACCTACACAGGAGGGACTTCAGGCCTTGGACCTCTTCACGCGTGACATGGTTCGGCATGCTTGTGCCAAGAAGGGCGGTGACTGGGCTCCTTGTGGGATTCGTCAAGGTCGCTACCTGCCAAACAGACAGGTACGCACTGTTCTCACTGATTTGGGTTACCCTGATGAAGCTGTCAATGCATACTGGAAAGGTAAGGGCCGCGGTGCTGCTGGTGTTTCTCCTGCTGGTGGAGCCAAGCGACCTGCTGAGCGTCGTGGCAGTGCTGTGGCTCGGGATGATGGGCGCTCTGCCAAACGTTGACCTGCCTCTGGTGCCCTTGGATATTTGTCCCAGGACTGCTGTTCCGTTTTGGTTTACTGATTTGACACCTGTTGAAAGCCATTACACCCTTCAATACTAATGGATTGCAGTACCGTCTGCAATCTGGTTTTAACCACCAGTACCGTCTGGTGGTTTGGAAGGGAGTCCGGTACCGTTCGGACTCCACTGTCTCATTCGTCGTCCTCTGTTGTTCTCTGTCCTTGATCTGTCGTCCGCCTCTCCTTCCCTCTTCTGATTCTTCCTGTTCGGTTTTGTCCTCTGTTCTTTCCTGCAGTCTTCTTCTCTCCTCTCATTTTCTCTCCCCCTGTCCGGTACTTTGGATCTTTACTCGGTTCAAATGCAGCCCTGATCCCTTTGATGAACCAATTTTGGTGTCCCATTGCCAGGATCCCCTCGAGATCAGTGTGGCTGATGGAGATCTCTTGGTGGATTCGCTGCAGAGTAAGCGACACAGTTCCCGGGGCAATAGGAGCCTTGCTCCTGCTAATGCCCGGCTACAGTTTGGTGATGAAGCAGCTGCGCTTGCCACTACGAAAGTCGCAAATGCCAGCAATGCAGCGCCAGCCGGCAAGTGACCTGCTTCCAGAACCTGCTCCTGCTGCGGGGCCTGTCATGATCGGAGGCTACAAGGTCTTTACTACGGACTCTGGCCCTCCA